GATATATGACAGGTGGCAGACTTACAGTAACCAAACAAACTTTCATGTGTTTTAAAATTTACTGCATTTTCTTCTGTTTCTTAGGAAGAAGAGGTAATAAACTGATACAATGAACATAGCATAACTACAGTATAAGTTATAGTGTCTTAAGCTTGGGACAGCAGGGTTCGTCACATCCGGACCAACTTAAAATGAAAAATTTCTAGCCTTGGTAATTAGTTTTTGTTGTGAAGATTTGGCAGTTGGTGATCCTGGCAAACATGTTTGAAAAAGCTCAGCATCATAACAACAAAAGCATGATTACTTTGTTGTTATTTTATAAAGACTCTACTTCTTTCCAGATCATAACCAATTTCCTCAAATGTGATTGGTGCATTAGCTGCTTTAGTTTTCACTAATTATTCTTTAGAGTTGTAATTAGACAACATAAGCAGACAGTTGGCTGTAATCAGACAACTTTAATTGCACTCTTCAGCAGCCAGTTGAACTAATTCTACTCAGCTAAAGCCACCAATCACAGAATTGACCAATAACCATAGCAAAAATCACTAACCCTACAAAATGGGGGAATTTCTTACCTTAGACAATGTCTTTACTGGAGATATGTTCTCAAATGAATGTATTGTAATGTTATGATTAAATGGTAACAGGAATTTGTGTCGTCCAAGTCTACCTGTAATCATACTGTAATTAAAAATTGGACTCCTGCTGCACAGTCATCCAATTTACTAACTACTTACATGATTACAGACTGCATAGGACTCCACTTGATCCTTTTACCAGAATAAACCAAAACGAAACTCAGAGGCTATACATACAGTCATCAAATCAAGTTGGTGAAGCTTCATTAAATATTCAATGCCTACCATGTCGACAATGTGCTCAACTGTGAGTAGGTCTCCACTAAGACAAGCCAGATGAAGAGGGGTCTGAAATTGTACCAAAGATTTGAAAAAGTCAGCTTGATATAAATATCCACAGATATCTCCTAATCATAACTTAACTGTAAAATGTCAACAATAGAGAAGTTAGTATTATACTGGTTTCAAACTTTAATATCGATAAAAGAGAAAGCAAATGGAAAATTGGTTCTAAAATTACAAGTTTTCCAAACCTCTTACAAGTATTTCAAATTTGTCTCTCATTTATTCCAGCTCCATTTTTTGCAAAATAAATCTCAGACCAAATAATTTTAATGGTCTAAAAAAGATCAACAGAGAGAAATATCTTATTTCAGAAGCCCAACAGATCATTTGAAGAAAAGCAAGTCTGAAATTAAAATAAAATGAATGTTGAATTCACTTTATATTTCAAAAGTGGTTAAACCAGCCTATCAATTATGAAGAAAGGAATTCAATGAAAAAGGAAATAAATTTTTTGTCCCTGATCTTCCTATACACATGTTTTGTTTGTAAGTATCAGCTATGGAATGTTGTCACATCAATTGGCTATTAGTTTAAGCTTCTTTGGACTTTTTTACAGCAATCTGGCTTCTCAAGCACTTTGTGATACAGAATAAGATAACAAAAACAATATGAGAAACATTAATGTGGACATAATTTTCTTGATCAGATGTTCCAGAGGAAGTTGCCATTCATGTAACAGGTTAAGCCAATTATGTCATTCTAACTATTTAACTTATTATCACTATTTTGAATGTCTCTCTGATTTGTTAAAGCGTATGTCTCTACATGGCTAATATCAATCCAAATCACTGTAAGAGAGAATATAATTACTGTTATTTGCATGTAGGCGTCAAATAACCAACAAGTTTTGAAATTGTCTCTTCTTATCTAATCCTTTTAATATGTAAATAATGATTTACCATCTGTGATTGAAAAGATGCATTTTTCTAGCCCATTGCTTTACTTTCAAACCCAGACTTATTAATTTTTCATGAATTTAATGCTTTAATGAGAAATTTTAAGAAATAACAATTAAGATTTCTCTCTCTCAGCCTCTCAAAAAATGAGATAACACACAACGAAAAGGGTGGATAATGATTAAAGATACCCCACAGTGAGAACCTCAATGAGGTGCTTGTGAATAATTGATCACAGTAAAGAGGGAGAGAAGGATGTAAAAGACCATTTAAGTTAAAAATTAAAGATTTGGAGACATCAGAATATTGGATTTATTCAGAAACTTTCTGATGAATTTTCATTGCATTTCTCAAGGTCGATTCTCTCACAGCAGTGATGTGTTCCATCAAAGCGCTTGATAGAAACAGTGAATACCTCTCAGCTCTATCACTCATTGTAAACCAAGTTTAACAGCATAGAAAAAATCACAGTGTATGAACTGAAGGGAGATTGTACTCCAAATTGTCACATCGGCATACAAAATCCAGCCAGGGTCATTGTGTTGTGTAGCATTTTCCCAATGTCTCTTTCCACCAACTGAATACCAGTGATTGTTCAGGGAATTTTTTTTAATACTTGACAGTTACCTGGGAACCTGGGATGCCAAGAAGCACTTACTCCAACAGAATTGTAATTGTTTTTGGTATCTTTGTGTTAAATCTTTTAGAATTGAATGTTCAACAAATATAACCTAGTTGTTTCTCTTTCAGTCTATACAGGAAAGAATCCACGACCACTTTTTAGTGGGAATGTACTTGCCAAAAGAGTTAACTTAAAGTTTGTGTTTTGATACATGTATATGTAAAGTTTACCAAACATACCTGGCTAAACCTGTCTTTCTGTTTGGGATCAAACCCAGAATACAGAAGCAACTGGACTACCTCGCTGTGACCTGTGAATTTTACATACATGAAAACAAACAATGCACTTGGTATATTTTCAATTGTAAATTTTCTCAAACAGATTTACTGTCAAACACAGAAAACCATGAATACCTGAAGTATTTTGAAACATTTATCTTGTTATGACATATAAGATAACTATAAAACCATCACATTAAGGCGTTTACAGCTTACATTTTTGTTTTCTCTTTTTATTCACCTGCAAGCATTTCATGACAAAATGTAATCATCAGCAAAAAATACAGTCATTCAGCATGCTTTATATTCTTATGGTGCATGCTGAGGAACTATGTATAAAACGGAAGCACAAGGAGTGACATCTAATAAAAATGCCTGATAGAAATGTTACAAAAAAATTGGCTTATACATCACTATACAATAAAAAAGATGTGAGGCACTTGCCAAGTTTGAAGAGCACTAAGACCCTAGAGTAGTTAGTTTTGCTCTAAACTTCCAGCCCTCTTCAAAGCTTGGTGAACACACACTGATGCATGAACCAGTTGTTCACCATATTACAATTAATACAGAATAATTTGCTACCTTTAAAACAAGCCCAGTGCAAAGCATTGTCGCCCTCATGATCTGTCAGAAATATCTTTGCTCCTTTCCCCATAAGGTATCCAGCCAGCATTGCTTTTCCATACTGCGCTGTAATAATTAAAGGAGTACAACCTTTGTTGTCAGTACAGTCTATTGAGGCCCCGTTTTGAAGAAGAAGATCCACACATAAAATATGACCATTGACACATGCCCAGTGAATTGGATAAGGTCCATAATCTGATCGACTCTGCTGATTTACTTCAACTCCACAATTTATAAAAAATTTTATAACTTCGCTGTAACCACCCAGGGCTGCCCAATGCAATGGCGTGTGTCCATGACTGTCATGTGTGCTCAGGATTTTCACGCCATGCTGTGCAACAAGTTCCCTACACATTCTGGAATCTCTAGAAACAAACAAAAATGTTACATCAATTCTAGTTTGTGAAATTTAAATGCAGAGGACAATATTAATTGTGATAACTGATTGAATTAGATCAGACTAGAAGTGGCGAAATTAATACCACCTGTCTAGTATTTGATTTATGACAACATTGGAGACCTCTTGAGGGAAAGGGGTTACCAAAAAGAGAGGCACAGCTGAATCAAAAATGATTCTGATATGATGCATCATACTGAGTAACAACCCAATAAAAATTCACAATAGGATAAGCAGAGGACTGATCTAAGCTTTTTGACAGAGTTAAAAACATTACAACACTGGATTAGGAAACAGGCATTGAATTTAGGTCATTAATTTAAATTTGACTCAAAGTTTTACCTATCCTCAACAATCTTATTTAAGCCACATTGTTCATGAAATGGTCATAAAAAGAGTTTAATTTGATAAAAAAAAGAGAATGCTCTATAGGCTCCATACTGTTAGGTTGATAAAAAAAGGCTGTGAAATTATTCTGTGCACAGCACTACTTTGGAAAAAAAACATCAAATTAGGTAGCTAAAAAATTCACTGCTACCTTTTGAAAACAGGTGTTAGTATAATATTTTTCCGTTCCTGTATTACACTGATCCGTCTGCAAGTGTTGCTTAGTCTCTTTTTTGTATAATTCCAAGTGTTAATTTACCTCGTATTTTATTTATCATGGCCTTTAACCCACTGACAAAGTCCATCCGTCTCTCAGAGTGAGAGCATGTCTGAACACCACAGCTGATTACCGCTAAACCAACAAACTACTTCGTTTTCTTCATACACTTATACCAGCTCGTATATCATATCTGCTAAGTCTGATCCGTATTAATTTACCACATTTCCAAGAGAGGAATAAAAAATTAAGATAAGCTATCGAGAACCGGAATTGAATTATAATATTTTGAGAGACTTAATTGTGTTAAAAGGCGATAAAAAGAGACTTTTGTATTAAAAAGGAATACACGATATAATTTGTGGAAAGTCCTTTCTGAGTTACGTTTTGGAGGTTGGAAAAGAGGCATAAAGTTGAACAACGGCTACTCCTCTACTCACCCGCATTGTGCAGCTTCAAAGATATCAATCGGTTTACAATTCTCGTGGTTTTCACACTCCTTTGATTCTTTCTCATCGCCCGCCATGTTGGTAGTCAACCGACTCCACGACGATAGCCGACGGGAGCCGTGAAATATTCGGCTATCTTCGGAAGATTTATTTTAACTTTCCGAAGATCAAGCATGGAACTTCTGTCACTCGAGAGTCATGTGAGTGGTTATGAGAAAAAAACACTGACACTGCGTATACGTATGATTCGAATGGAAGGAGAAAGTATGGCGGATCAACGAGATTTGGTGCATCTCAACCGCTTGAAATGCTTCAACGATGCTGTTTTTGCCATAGTATCGACCATTTTGATTCTTCCCATCCGCAAAATTCCAGAAAACTCTTCTAAAGACCTTGAAACTGAGCTGGATAAACGATGGAAGCAGCTTGTAGTGTATTTCATATCGTTTCTTGTTATTTGCTCTGTCTGGGAATCCCATGTGCACCGTTTTAAGATTCTTGCCCATGTAGACGATGTGTTAGTTTGGTTGAATCTAACCTCTCTCATGTTTACCTCGTTTTTACCGTTTGCGTGTGCACTGGAGGGAAATTATCCGACAAAATATCTTCCTTTAATGCTGATTTGCGCTGACATGTTAGTTGTAGAACTTCTCGAAGTGGCTATGATTTTCTATTCCTTTCACCATGACTACTTACTGATAGACGAACTAAAAGACCTCTCTAAGGAACAACAGAAGGAAAGAAGAAACTATATGTTGGCGAAAAAACTTCTTAATCCAATTCTGTATATTTTGGCTGGATCTCTGAGTCTCGTCAATTCCGTTACTTCATGGGTTGTGATTTCTATCGTCATCATCACGCCCTGCATCCATCGTCTAATTGGCTTCATCTTTCGAAAATGCAAGTTTGTTCGCGTGGCTGGAGCAGATTTTGATCTTATGTTCGGTAACTACATCGACACAGAGAGGGTAGAATGTTTTAGTGATGGAGTATTCTCGATTGTCTCGACTCTGCTGGTATTGGACATCACAACAGAGAATTTGCCATCTGAAAACTGTGTCGAACAATTTGGAATCGATAGAGCTGTACTGAACATGTGGCCGAAGTTCTTGATATATGCAGCAAATTTCATTGTGATTGCTCTCTTGTGGTTTATCCATCACTCTCTCTTCCACTGCATCAAAAAAATGAATCAATTCATGTTGGTTTGCAACAACATTTCCTTGGCTTTCGTTGGTTTCTTTCCCTTTATTGTTGCCATTTTGAACAAGTTTGCTGACAAGCCTAGGAAACCTGATGACAGCACAAAGCTTGCTGTGCAGTGTGGCTCAGTGGTCATATTTATGGCAAGTATGTCTCAAGCTGTTGTATTTGTTGCTGCACTGTGGAAAGGTCCATCCCATCTGGAACCAAAGGTGAACCCAGCTGTTTCCAAAACGAGTCACTACTACTTGACTTTGAAACTTGCCATTTTACCTGTTATTAGTCTTGCAGCATACAGCATTGCAATTACAGCAAGTGCTTTAATAATCTATATTGCTTTCCATGCTGGCGCATTTGTAACTCCATTCTTGTTCCTAGCACTGAAATTCTGCTGGGGCCATAGGGAAGTGGGTGTTTTGAGACACGATGTTGCCATGGATCCTGACTTGGAGACCTGGGTACCTCCCCCTCACAGAAGTAGGTTGCGTCTTCAAAAGAATTTCATAGGTGACACCACTTTATCACAGTCATTAGCATGCTAAGAAAATTTAAATAGTTTCAGACTTAAGGTGGCCCAAAATAGTTTTGCTGTTTTTTGAAGCAAATTCTTTGTTAAATGTTTTCTACCCTATGTTTAAGTTGACAAAAATTATACTGGCTCTAAACTGATAAACTGAATGTTCTGAATTATTTGAAATTTGCACAAAGGTGCATCTTGAAATGATGACTGCATTTCAATAAACAACAACTGGTGTCACAGTCATCATTTTTTGTTTGGGTTTTTTTTGTTAATCAAATCTAATTATGGTGTTTCTACAAGCTTAAGCATTGGTACTGCAACCTTAAAAATAATAAAACTGATCCAAATTTGTTTTTAAATAATTAGGTAATTAAGTATTATCAACTGAGTTAATAATACTAAATTACCCTGTTAAACTCACCCACCGATGCAGCACCTCAGTTTCTTTAAAAACTTACCCACCTTTATTTAAATAATTTAGTTTATATCACTCCAAAGGAAACAAAAGAAAAAGTGTTGATGCCACAATTCATTAAAGAATTGGTGTTCAAAAAAGTGGCACAACCATTTTGAGCAACCTTTAAATGACCTAAACTAGCCCTAAAGATTCAGATGCATGGAAAGGATGGTGTCTGAATCAAGGAGAAATACAGGAATATCACCTGTCAGATATTCTTAATAGTTCTCATTTACTTTTTTCTTTGTGAGATAATAATATTTTATGTTCAAGTTCATTACAGAGCTCTTGCAAAATACCCGGACATCTTGATCTGGAGTTTAGGTTAGTAATGAACAGGCTTGGACCTCTCCATGCCATTATTTATACCAATTCCTATTTAATTTTAGGAGGTAAGACTCCTGTGAGGTTTCATTTACAATTATGTTTTGCAAGCAAATTGTGTTGTTAAGGTTAAAAGATGTTTTGTAAGGGTAATGATGGTATACATAAATAAAGCATGTTTGTTTTGCAAACATTTTCCTCTCTCCAAAAGCAATTTTAAAATTGCAGCTATGTTAATTATGGAAATAGTATCTTCCCAATATTTTGTGATGTTGTGTCATCTCTAAGATCAAGAAAACTAGTGTAAACTTTTGGAGCAACGTGGTTTCCAAAGAGAAGTCAACTAAAATCTCACCCTTTTGTGAGTCCAATTCCATTCAACAATCTTTAACTAAATAGACTGTAGCTTCTGTAGATACTTTATCTGACAGATTACTTTGCCTACTAATTTTAAGTATTGAGTTAACAAAATTTTTCGAAAGGTATTGTTAGTACCTGAATTAGAGAAATTATAAGTTTGCAAAATTTATTTTGCAAAGAAAGATAATGTATATTGCATGAGAGAAAAAGGAAAAATCATTATTTTGTAATAAAACACAGTTTAAACTAATTTAAGCCAATTGATACATAATGTTTAGAACCTAAGGCAGTTGAGATAGCTGTTTGCTTGAAAGGCAATAATAAATGCGTTTTCAAAAATCAACGTGAGTAGATTTTTACTTTACACTGAACAGTTTTAAAGGCCAATATCCTCTGGATGTTGGCCGTCACGCGATCCCCCCATCAACAACTATTGGAAGGGGAACGTTGCGTGACGCTAAACGCCGGAGGACTTTACCTTAATGCCCTTTTTTTTTTTTTTGCCGTCTAATATCCACTCAGGGATCGTCTGAGTGGAATCTGCATGACAAAAATAGTCAATTTATAGCAGAAGTCGAGCGTTTCCGACCACGAGTTCGATTCTGCGACGAATGGGACTCCAAAGATGCGGAGAGCGGTATTCTCCCACCATGTGATCTGCACCAAACATCTGGAAGAACCACAAACGATTTTAATTTCGCTTTGTGAGCTAACAGGAACTTAGAGATCATTTTAACAACGCGGAATTTATGTAGAATTGAGGGACATTTACGCTTTCATTTTCTGAACATATCCGCATTTGATAACGAAACTAATTGAAGCGATATGACAGAGGAATTGGATCTTCTCCATCTCAAGCGTTTGCAATGCTTCAACGATGCAGTATTTGCCATTGTGGCGACCATTTTAGTTCTACCTATCAGAAAACTCGAGGAGAATGCGACAGAAAGCTCCAGCCTTGCCGATCAACTTAGCGACAAATGGCCGCAGTTATTGATCTACCTTGTAGGATTCCTCGTAATTTGTGCCGTATGGGAATCGCATGTTGTGCGCTTCCGTATCTTGTCACGGCTCGATGATGTGCTAGTCTGGTTAAACCTTGGATCGTTGCTATTCACTTCGTTTCTCCCTTTCACGTGCGCTTTAGAGGGAATGTTTACCTACAAGTACCTTCCCATGATGTTGATCTGCGGAAACCTGCTCGTTCTCGAAATCCTGGAGGTGATCATGATCGTGTACGCCTTTCATCATCCACGGCTGCTGGACCCCGAGTTTGACAACCTCTCCCATCAAGAAATCAAACAAAGGATGAAGCTGATGCTGGTGAAGAAAGCTGTTAACCCCTTCCTGTATATTTTAGCTGGTGCAGTTAGCTTGGCCAAGATAGAATTGGCCCTTATTGTTGTGGCGATTGTTGTCTTCTCTCCCTGCATTAATCGCCTCGCGGGTGTTATCTATCGCAAATGGACTCGTGTACATCTAACTGGATCGGAGTTCGATCACATGTTTGGGAATTTCATCGACAAAGAGAGAGTGGAGTTTTTCAGCGATGGACTTTTCGCGATTGTTTCCACTCTGTTGATCCTAGATATCACTGCTGAAGATTTTCCAACGGAAGAGGAAGTCAACCGCCATGGCATCCAGAGCACACTCCTACACATGAAGTCGGAAATTTTCACGTATGGAGCGACGTTCGTGGTGGTCGCGCTTTTATGGTTCACGCACCACTCGCTATTTCACTACATTGAGAAACTGAATCAAGTCATGCTCGTTTGTAACAATATTTCCTTGGCCTTCGTGGGTCTTGCTCCTTTAATCAACGTAACGCTTAACCGTTATGCAGGGCATGGCAAACCCGATAGCCGTCTTGCAGTGCAAATCGGGGCGATAATTGTATTCATGGCCAGCACCAGTCAGGCTGTAGTGTTTGTGATCGCCTTATGCAAGGGTCCGAACTATCTAATGGCGCGCGCGAATCCTAGCGTGGGATCTCGTACGCACGCGTATCTCGCGTTGAAGATGGCCATACTTCCACTGATAACGCTCGTGGTATATTTAGTAGCCGCGCTGTGCCAGCATGCTTCGCTCTCTGATGACGTGTATCACATCGCTGCAGGACTGACACCCATGATATTCATTCTCATGAAAATCGTGTTTTCCTGTTTCAAGGTTCACTGTAACTGCAGACAGTGGAGAAGGGGAACGGTGCGACAAGGCGATTCGGAATTTTACTTTTTTGCAGGAGGTGACTAAAAATAAAATGAAGTGCATGAGGGAAGAGAACAATTCCAAGAAACTTCAGGAACCAGAAATGCAGGACTAGATTTGTATTTCAAAGTGTCTTCTTTAATAGAGCGTGAATCCATGATGATCGAGAATATTTTGTGCATGACGCTACTGAGCATAATGTATTTACAACTTCGTAGTTTTCAAGTGGAAGCCGTATTCGTGCACGATAGCAATCTAACCATTTACAGCCATATGTCAATATGCATATTCTCCTTACTGTTCTCTGTACATTTCGTGAGGTGTTGACAAGGAGAACTTATTTAACAATCAAGAGCTTCTTTAGCAGATGATCATTAAGTTTATTCTTGTAACCTTAATGCTTAATTCAGGGATGATTTGTAGGGAGAAATTAGATGCTAGTCACTCTCCAGGGTTAGGGGAGTTTCTCTCCTAGTAACATGTTAAGGTAATGATTCCAAACTAGTAAAAGATTAAGATCCTATATTCAAAATAATACTTTTTAATGTACTGCAAAATAAGGGAGGTACGTTTCTAAACAAACTGGTGCTGCGTCGGTGGAGGAGTATAACAAGAACATTTGGTTTTATCAACTGAGTTGATGATGTAACCTGGCCACCGTAAAGAGTTTCTGAGATGCCGTTTCGAGCGTTAGCCCTTCGTCAAAGCTCTGACAGTGTTGCTATTTACATTATCAACTCATTCGATAAAACTAACATTATCTTATTGCAAAATAAGATTTCATTATGTCTTTATATCTGAGAACTCCGCTCAGAAAACAGAAGCACACCATTGGTAACGTTCAAACAATTCTTTATTGAAGACTTTTCATTTTAATAATAATATCTCAAATAAATCTTACTTTGACTTGCATCTAGAATTCTCGTAGAAGGTATGTCACTCTTGTGCAAACTCGACATCATAAATATCGAATTTCTTTTTAAAGGTCCTTTAAAAAAAGGATCTAAATATTTGATTTTGAAAATAATTCATTAAAAACCGTAGCTAATCTTCCTTTAACTATAAATATTGAAAAATACGTTTACAGTATGCAAAACGCTGCTGTACAATTGCACAGTATCTACACGAGTGATAGAATTTTATACAGTATGTATATTGTTTTACTTTACTTAAACACATAAAGGTATAAACGAGATACCAATAAAGAGGTAATTACAGCTTTCAGATTTTCCCTGACCTCCAAACGAGATATTTACAAGTTAATTTTACAACGTTAGAGTAGAGTTAAAGTTTTTTAAGTTAATCCAAGCGAAAAGTAACCAAACACAAGGAAGGAAATATTCAATAGTGGCAGTACAGGAACCCCTTTGAACTTCAGGCCACATTTGTTACAGCTGCTAAATGAACGTGTAAGCTTCCACTCCACCATTCTCAGATTCCTCATTTGCGTGTTTTTTTTTTTGTTTTTGTTGTTTGTTTTTTTTTTAATGAGCAACGATCTAGTATTTTTCTGGTCTTTGGCAGATTCTCGGTCAGATGTAAAGATCAAATAATAAGATCGAAAATGGCGAAAAGTGGCGGTAGAGGGGAAACCTAAAGGAGGAAAAACCCTCGCCTCTCCCCCTAACACGTTTTTTCCCTGGTCCCCCCTGTCCACGAGCCTGGCACAAACTAGCAGTTTCTCGATGTTTTCAAGCTATTTGTCTAGCCAATAACTAGCCAATGAGGGCCTATTCAATATTTTTTCTGGCCAATCAGATGGACCATTGAATTACAGAATCGTGGTTTAGATGAAGACGTCTGGCGCAGTTCTAAAATTTTACTTCGAGGCCACCCAACAGACATCTGCCCAGTCGCTGCACTCAAATTGCATAAAAAGTTTGCACAAAACTAAATCATTATCATGTGAAAAAGTAGGAACTTTTACAAGAATAAATCTGTGAATTCTTGTGCTTTTACTTCAACCCATCGTTCAAAGAAGGAGCACCATTCTGTTACAGCGGTTGTCGAGGCGCGTTTGATTGGCAAATTTGCTTAATCCGTCGTAGTGCAAACAATAATTAACAAGTCAAAACCAAGATAATTTAGTCAGTTAATCCACGTTTGGTTCTAGGTGCTACCTGTAATCGACGCGTGTGATCTAAGACAGCTTTCAGATCCGAAATGATCTTGAAACGTAAAATAACACTTCTGTATTCGTGGTTGAATCTGCGTAGGAAACGAATTTTTACGTTGTCCTTCTTAGATTTCTCCTCAAGAAAAGTGATGTCGCACAAAATTAGTTTCAATTGTATAAAGAACCGATACACAAAAGGCGAGTGAGAATCGTCGGTGACCTATCTTCTTATTAAGAACCTTTTAAAATATCAAGAGAATATCAAGAAAATATCTATTGTTGCTGTGATAAAAATAACCCAAGGAGTGAACATAGATGATTTGTCCGCGGGCAACTCACCCACAATCCACGCACGCGTACCTTTCACTCCAAATCCTTTACGAGTACCACGCGAGCTTTTTTTGTTGTTAACTGCTTTTTTTTTCCATTAAGAAACCTACCACTTTGTTTCTGTGATTAAATTAGGGGTGTGTTTACGCCAGAGAAGCGGAGATTATTTCACCGAAAGCGCCTTCGAAGCACTGCTTCAGATCACGATATGAAACCACCAACACAGACTGTTCGTCGCGTGACATAAGGCAAACTTTCTCGTTTGTCCCTGCTTCTAGCTGGAAAATGAAACAATGAAATGAAGTATTAGAATGTAATGACAAGAGGGATTAGATTCGATAATATCATGTAAAACTGGAAAATCAGTCTAACTTAATTTTCAAAAGATGAAAGACAAACATTGTAAGAATTACAAAATCAAAACCGAAGTAATAACAAAAGCCCATCAGCCAATGAGAACGCAAAGTAAAAACTATCAAATTAATTGGAGCGCGGTGATAAAACTTTTAAGTTACCACAAACACCATCATCGTTTCCAAAAGAACTAACCTTGTTCAGACAGGCAACTATATGAGCCAAGTCTACCCATGGTGCACCATTTTCAGTGACTTGGTGGAACAAGTAGTCTCTAAACAGCTTCAAAAGATATCGGTCACCAGTCTCCGACCAACTTGGATCCATAGTGAATCTATAAAGTAATGGGCACGAGTCAGAGGGAAATCAAACGGGATCCATTGCCTAACATTACATTGCCGGTTTTTTTTTTTTAATTTTCGTGGATTTTGCGAATACACATCGATCCTGAAGAAACATAGATGTCATATGACGAAAATGACGTATGACGAAATCAATCAGTCTGAAGGTGTTTACAGTGCAAGCAGAAACAATCAATACGAAGGCACAAAACATACTCTGGTCGTTCATTGATGATTCCAATCTTGCAGAGAATTCTGAAAAGGCGCCCGTTCTCCATTTCCTGATAAAAAGAAAAAAATTATGTCGTTTAGCTTTGGCCATATGCGTTGAACATACAAATACCTAAAGACTAATAAAAATGTTAAATGTAAGGTTTAGATTGATTTAAGTTCGTCTATAACGATTTTGAACTCATGGCTGTGTGTCTTGAAAAATTCTGCAAAAATTTTTTCCAAATGCTCAAACGAAGATTCCCGAACATTTATATGCTGGTAATAAATTTTTATATTATTACCTTAGCCAGCTCGCCCTCTAAAACATCGCACTTGACTTGCGCAGCGTCTAATTGTGTGTAAAATCTGGCTCCGATCATCGGCATAATGTCATTCACGCTCTTCATGTGAGCTGCGATAGGACTGCCCAGAAGATAGCTGTCGGAGAGGGCAAAGTTTAGATTGAACAAAGACTTTCCAAAGCCGAGTAACAAAACAACATAAAGGTCTACTTCTGTAGTTTCTTCTGAGAGCTTAAGATAAATAAAAATTAGCTTACATCTTAACAGTATATCCCAGTTTCTAAAGAAAGAAGTAACCAGGAACACTGCTACTCCTCCATAGTGTGCAAGCCCACCGAAAGCAGCCCCACTCCATTTTGTCAATTTTCTGCACAGTTTACACTCATGGGAGGATCGGAACACGTAGAGTGAAATGTCTAACCCGTGAACATAGCACAATAACATTGTCACCGGTCGTACCCAAACCTCTCGATTCGAAATCAAGCGCACTAACCACTAAGCTCCATGTCTCTCGCGGTAATGTACCAGAACAAATACGTATTAAATGATCTTCAAAGCTGGATTTAGTGTACATTACATTTCCCTTCCACAAGTGTTGCTTTAAAAGGAACAACGACTGAACACTTACATAATAAGGTTTTTAAGATCTGAGGAGTAGTTCATGGCCATGTACTCCAACGACTGTTGAATATGTTCACGTTGCACAGCTTGAAGAGAGTAACACGCCAAGGCAAGGACTAGTTTACCAAGGGAAGTAAGATCCTCTTGCTGCGAGAGAAAATGAAGTATAAAGGAAAACGAGTAAGCTACAAAATTAATGTCCAAAGGTGAGAAATTTTGATGCTGCTATGCCATAAGACACAATGAAACAGGAACAAACGGACGCGATGCGATGGCGTGACACAGACACACAATCTGTTGTCAGGCGAGCAAGTAATTGTTACTAGCGCATAAAGATCTCGGGAAATGCTGAGCAGGGTTTTTCATTTGCTTCTTTAAGGTTATAAGAAAAATAAGATTAACTCATGTTGGCTTGAACATATCACAGGAGTTAGGAAAAGGAGAACTTGCGAGCAAACTTTGATTTCAATTTAAGATTTGTGACGCAACATGAATTACTCCAAAATAACAAGTTTACCACGGATTTACACTTGTCACGGTACTTCCTTGCACTACGGGAGAATCAGGAACTCTTGCAAAACCTCTAGCACAAGCATTAGATTCAACCACATTAATGACGTACCTGGAAATGTGGAATCATAGCATTCGGGCTGTTACTTGCATCAAAACTGAGAACATCGAATATCCCACAACCATTTATTCTTAATCTGCCAAGAAAACAAAATGAACGTTAACATTTTAATTAAGTTCAAAAAGAGAAAGTCGAAAAGAACAGAACGCAACGCAAAACAAACAGTTGTACACTCACCTTGAATTTCCGATTAATAAAATCTTGGAGGGATCAATGACTCTACAGGCCAGTCCAGATGCATGAACAGATCTCAGTGCAGACGACAACTGAATAATGTAACTCCAAATCAACCGTTCAGGCATGGGACTGCGGTGACCTGGCCGGTGTCTGTTTAACATTCCGCCGGCACGAGGATGTGAGGGAAATACTAATGTACCATCAGGGTTCACAGGGAGATTGGAGTCTGGACCCGAAAAATGCCTCATAAGGAGTGTTTCGGCTCCAGGATGATAGTCGTACACGAAGACGAGAGCTGTGTGACGAATGAAGGTGGTTAATACGAGTCCTCGAAGCCGGAAAGCATTGATTCATTTCACAAGCGCAAAGGTATAACTTCTCAATCAGTTCCTATTACATATCTTAAATACTATTTCAGTATAGATTCATGCCTGTTGAATGTTCGATTAAAGGCGAGTACGTGCTTTTAGATTGCCAGAATAGAGTCAGCTATGGTCATTTACAGGTGGAAAACACTTAACCTGTTTTCAAACTAGGAATGATAAATAGAGACTTTCCAAGTCACTTCAAGTAGAAAAGGTCAGTTTCACCACTGAAGACAACAAGTCTGTTTCAGGGACTTCACAGGAGAATTAAATTGTTCAATGACATCGTTCCCTAAGATTGATAAAATACGTTATTTTCTCCTCTACACTTACAATTATCTCCAAAAGACTTTGTTGTAAACACTTCTCTGAGACTGACGAGATTTGAGTGGCTGACTTTCTTCCACTGATCCACAAGAGCCATGGACTTGGTATTTACAAGTCGAAAAGCTAAACCACAAGAAACACTCTATGTAAGAACAAACATGGGGAAACAAGGAAACTGAATGACCCTATCACTGATGTACTGTCTGTCTGGCTGACTGACTGACAGACCAACCGACTAATTGTCTGTCTGGTTGACTCACTGACTTACAGAAAAAGTAAGTCTCAAAGGCTGAATAACTGACTCACTGACTAGTTGACTGAATGACATACTAAAAAAAATTTGGTTTCATCAACTGAGTTGATAATGTAAATTAGCCGCCGTAAAGAGTTTCAAAGCTGACGTTTTGAGCGTTAGCCCTTCGTCAGAGCGAGATATTTCGTCAAATAAATCAAATCATCTTGTTCTACTCCCCCACCAACCCAGCACTACAGTTTGTTTAGAAACTTTAACCCCCTCATTCATTTGACTGACATACTGTATAACGGAGTCTCCAAGTGACTGTCCGACTGGCCGAAGGACTGACTGGTTACCAGACTTCCTGACCCATAGACTGACTAGCTGACCAACTAACTAATGACTCTCAAACTGACTAACTGATTGACAGACTGTCTGTCTTACTGCCTCGGTTCATTATCAAACGTTTCAATAATCAGTCCACTTACAATGTATTCTTCTAAGTATGTAAATAAGTCCATCTTTAGAATTTGTGGCTTTGTAGCAGGTAGTCATATAACCAAACGTCCTTTGTGCCTTCAGGGAAAAAAATTAAAACACATAGTACATTAGCTAAAATATAACTGTCAGCTAAACACATTGTTATAAGACTTGCAAACTCAATAAAAGTGGAAAAATGAAATCTTATTCATCTTCTAACATCCATGAACACCTTTTTTATTTTTTTACATCACTAAACATCTGCCAAGCACCAGAGCCTGCTGCAGATCTTGTTCCTCATTAAACCCCCACCCCATCCCATCCCACCCCACCCCACCCATACCCCATTGAAAATAATTTAAACAAAGTAAAAGTTGGCCCAGCACATCCACTGAAAAAACCATTTTGGTTTTTGAATTAATCACAACATGTCAATTTAACTCTTCTTAATGCCATGATGTTTTCCATTTTATCTGCCTTCTTTGTAACTAATTTTGGTAACCTCAGTTAATTTATAGGTTTTCTTTTTTTTAAAGTCAAGTTTACTGAATTTACCTGCTCAGTTGGGGTATCCAAGGGTTCTATTGGACACAGGGTGTGGTAACTGTCAACCTCCTGCGGCACAGCTAACAATGATATGGTACAAGTACATTCATCAGCAAAAGAAATAATTCTTTTCAGAAAGTAAGTTATATATTTGACAAACATTCCATGGGCCATGGACATGAGATGGAGGATACCCAACATGATGAGTAGCCTCACGGACAATATGTGGGAGGCAGAGAAATATCATACTAATAACAACCAGAAAATACTTATGATGAAGAGCTAACTTCTGGCCTGGCATAGTATAGTTGCTCAAGTTCATGGTAGCTGCTCTACTCAAAACCTAGAATTGTACCATATCCACACATCCATATTGAAATTAATGATATCATTTTTGCATGCCAGTCCCTCCAAACCTGCTCTTTTTTTTATATTTCTACCACTAACATAACATTACAAGGCTGCTTCTTACTGTTATCATCTGGGTCAAGCTGTGCCATACTTAGTGCATGTTGGTGAATGAGTTCCTGAAAAATGAGAAGGGAAACATTCAGATTTTCAGACAAAACCACTTGATTTGTAAAAATGATTTTCTTAAGCCTGGTGTTCACTAAAAATGCATTCAGAGTTAGCTTTGAATCCTAAGAATGCTTACAGCCTGAAGAAAAGCTGAAAGTTGAAAACTCAAAGTCATAACTTTGATGAAATTTGAGTCACAAAAAAAAAAAACAGAACATGTCCTTTTTCTCTATAATGTCTGAGGCCCAAGATAATGCTGGTTCTCAGAACCTCCTTGTGCTCAAAGTGCAACAATCTAAAAGTTTTCTCTAGGTCAAAAGCAGCAGAGTTATATGCAGAATCAGTATTCTGCTTAGGGTTTCCTGGTTTCATTTTCATTTGACAGTATCCCTCTGCATGTGAAAACCAGCACAACACAGAGCTTGAACCACTCAAACCAAAGGCTACCACATACTCACTAATGGTTACTAACCTGTCGAATTTGAGTTGACATGGAGAAAGAATTGTTCCGTGTTTGAGTGCTATGAAGATGTGCAAGGTGAGAAGGCTCTGACACATATGCCTGGTACGATGGGAAAAGCTAAAATAGACAAAATACACGTATTTCAGAAGGAAAAAACTATCTGCCACTTTTTCTTTAAGCATACAAGTACAAGTTTACTATCTCATATTAGTGATAAAGAGCATTCATGTTAGTAATCACAAAAGACATTAAAATCTACATTTAAAACATGTTTTCCTGACAAGGACAACCAAATATTAAACAATATTTTTTCCATCAATTTAACAAGGTTTTTTTTCAGTAAAAGTATAATTCTTACCACAGCAGGCTGCTGTTGTCCTTGTTGAGTGTAAAAGTAGGTTGTTCCACCAATGGATTCCATCTGCTGTGGAGCTGGAACATGTGCCTGGTTGTGTATTTGTGGTTGGGGGAGATTTTGGTTCTAAAGAAAACATAGAGGTTTAAAGAACTTTATATTGTTGTTGTGAGAGCAAAGATCAACTCCAAACCTCTTTAGATGTGTGGGCTACAAGACTATTGCCCTTGGAAATTGTTCTTGTGGCCATTCTAGGAACATGCAGGAACTGTATGTAAAATGTTGTTGCTGATAGGGTTTGCACTGAAACTATTCTCAAATTACATATAAAATTGCCAAAACATAGCAAAACATAAGAAATAAATACATTCAAAATAAAACACTCACTGCAGTAGATGGTAAAAATTCAAATGCTTGTGACGTGATTGGATTGTGGTGTGCCTTTGGTGATCCAAGTGGTGGCTTGCTAGGAGAATGCAGTGGTGACACAGGACCTCCAGGTGCCAGGGATGAGGTAAATGCCTTCTTTGATGGGGAAAGAGGAGAGAGGTGCCCACCAAGGGAACCTGCAGGCATCTGAATAATGTAAAAAACAAGTTTAGTTACATGATCATGTTTGAACAAGTTATCACACCTCAAAAGAAGCTCAGCTAGCCACTTCTATATACATGGTAATTTAGTGTTAACAACTGAGTTGAAAACGTAAATTAGCCACTGTAAAGGGTAAAAAAGCTGACATTTCATCATTAGCCCTTCATCGTCCATCACTCAGTTACATGATCATGTTTGAACAAGTTATCACACCTCAAAAGAAGTTCAGCTAACCACTACTATATACATGGTAATTTAGTGTTAAAAACTGAGTTGAAAATGTAAATTAGCCACTGTAAAGGGTAAAAAAGCTGACGTTTTGTCGTTAGCCCTTCCTCGTCCATCGCTCTGACGAAGGGCTGACACTTGAAATGTCCATTTTTTTTACCCTTTACAGTGGCCAATTTACGTTTTCAACTCAGTTGTTAACACTGAATTACCTGCTATACTCTCCCACCAACGCAGCACCACAGTTTCTTTAGAAACTTACCCCTTTACTACCTTATACATGTCTGATTTCATGCTTGTATTTATAAAATATAAATCATACAAAGTCAGAAATTAAAGTTGCAAAAATTAAATAATTATTATCATATATAAATACAAGCACAGTCAGAATTTTATGTGCAGTGTAAATAGCAGATATTTTAAAACATGAAAGTGTTGAAAGGAAAATGACCAATAAGATCACATGACTGGTGAAAAGTAATCCAAATTTGATGGATTATTTAAAAGAAGACTGAAAGAGGTGACATTTTCAGATGTTTTCCAACTAACAGCAGAGCCAACAATACATTACCTTGTTTGTTGAAATCGACAACTGTGCCATGTTGCCAACAAAGTTGTCATGCAGACCAGCTGTGTTGCTTTTGAACCCTCCACTTCTGAGCCCCTTGGGACCAACAGGTCCGTTATTCATCATTGGACCATTATTTATAACATGTCCATTATTGGCAGGCCCTGATTGGAAGAGAAGAATAAGGAACTTCAGTCATGAAATTCCAATCATGAAATGTGGAAAGACAGATGATGTCACGAATAGTCAGATTGCAGTTGTAGCACATTCAATGAAAGCAACTCATGCTTTTCTCACAACTCTTATTTAACTACAATAATTTTATCAATTTTAACAGTTTCAGCCATTTCTAAATTTCTTCAATTTCAGTTCTATGTAAAGTGCATTACATTATATTTGTATAATTTTTTGCATTTTTGAAGTACAATAAAGTTATTATTATTATTATCATTATTGTTACTATACTTACTGCTTATTTGCTGCTTACTTATTGTTATTACACTTTCAAGTAGAAGGATAATAAAAAGAAAGAAAATATCACTGAAGAAATTATTTGAATTGACAAAAACTTCTCAGATCTAAAACTTTTGTAAAGGTATTGCAGAAAATGAGGAAAATTGATTAAAAAAAACAAAAGAAATAGTACATAAGTGAGCACAATGAAAAAAATTCACACAAGCCCCCTATGATCTTCAGGTTTGTGTAACAGGTGCCTTTGAGTGTGATGAGCCTTTTTAATAATTTTATAATGGCTAATACAGACAAATATTATGAACAAAAATATAGTTGTCAAGTCACATATGTCCTACTCAAAGTTCAGTTATCAACTGTAGTCTTCAATTTTAAGATCTCACACCACTTCAGTGAATAAATTGTTTCTCGTGAGAGTACTCACTCAAAACTTTTTTACAAACTCAAAATAATAATTATAATAATAACAATAACAATAAAACTGGCACAGCCAGCTGCGAAAATATGTTCTTAAACCTGTCCGATAGTAACTACAAAATTATTGGCAAAACATATAAGCTATCTGTGACATTTTGGTTTAACCACACACGTTCATTGTTTTGAAAACGCAGACTGACGTAGATATAGACGTAAATGCACTTAGCTACTATGGTTCCATGACATAAAAAAGTTGTAAATCATTCACCACAACAATTCTATGAAGTTATGATCGAGTTTCTTCCTGTTCTTGAAACACAGTTCACTGCCTTGGGACATCTGCTTCTTCATTTAGACAGACCTCATTGCAGTACAACGCTACATAGTAATAGCGAAATTACTGAAAAATTGTGACATCTCTATTTACCTATCGCACTGATTTAGAATTCGTGTTTTTTTCCCTAAGCTGTCCTATACCCAAAGTTTTATTAGTTAAAATTTGAATTTTTTTAATAGACTTTGATAGTCAATTCCATTTTATTTTGAATCTTCTAAACAGACCTCAACATTGTTTGTTGTTCAAAATTGTGCCTGCAAAATTTGCCAAAGATACTTCACGATTCCACCTTCTAACCTTGCTAAATAACTAAAAATATATCTATCTACATTAAAATCACCTATAAAATATGCAAAGATCAAAAACGAATATCCCTCGACCGTTGTTTGTAAATTATACGTACCCATTCGACCTTCGTTGGAAGAAGGCCTCGCATGAACAAACTGGCACTGATCGCCGTAGAAACAATATCCATTTGTATTGTAATAACGACATAACGTGGGCCTTGAGGATCTGTAACCAGTCGTCGAGTTTGAATGATTCATCACTTCACGATGATCGCGTTTTCAGATAATAATTCGCTGCTGAGACATTGTAAATAACCGACCTTCAGATTACCGCCGCCATTTTTGATCGGTTCGTCTTGCGTTACTTTCATAAACGTGTGCGCACGCATGTTGACTAGGTTCAAGTCTACCTCTCTCAAGAGTTCAAGTGCACAAGAACTCGGCATATCCGGACAGGTGTACTGTTGGAAAACAAACGTGAATATTACATATAATTCTAATGTCATTTCTTCAGTAAATGTCTAGAACGTATATGAGTGCTTAAGTAATTTACAGGCTTCAATCCGTCTCAACATTTTAATTTGGTTGGATCTGAATTTCACTTTCTATGTCTTAAGGATAAATTTCAACTGTACTGTACAGTTTTAATTTAGAGAAACCGGACCAAACCTGAGTCTTGAAATAACTAAGAAGACATTTGCTGTCTTCGCTATGACTTTTGCAAATGGTTAGACATTCTAGACCTCTCGGATGAGGAGGATAAACCGCAGGCCCCGTCTCCTGCATCTTCTGGTTAGCAGGGGACGTAAAAGAACCCACGCACTTCCAGCAAAGAGCAAGGTACGTTCGTCCCAACCTCTCCAAATATAGCATACATGAAATACGAAACAGTAGTTACTGGTGCACCAAAAGTGCTTTAGAGGCTTGGGTTAACTGAGGTAATACTGAGCATGGAAATCTAAAAAAAGGGCGTGGCTCTGTTACACTCAGTAAACTGAAACAAGCTGGTCTTGCTGTGCTTGGGAATGCCAAGCACCTCACAACACTTTACATATGGCAGGTAAAGACAATTCAAAAACCAAAGTTATTAACATTTATTTATATTTTGTAGAATACTATTATTGACCCCTACAACAATTACAACCATTTATCACTTTATCGTCTTAATCAGATACTTGCTTTCAGTTCAATTTCCATTTTTTTTTCTTTTTTAAAAAATAATCTAAAAAACTACATACAATAACTGATTTTAGCAACAAACTTCAAGGCAGATTGGAACCAATAGTGGAATGAAATGACCACCGTTCAACATCTAAATGCATTATTACAAAAATATGTCTGCACAAAATTTTAACTTACATTTGTTCGACAATAATTGATCAAATTATCTTTTAGCTAGACTACCCTATTTCTGGATTATATATGTTCCCAAATTTCTATTTTTTTTTTTAGTTCGTTATGATCAATTTTAGAGTGAGAATCTAATGGTAACTAATACGTTGCGACCATAAATTTAATCTACAAGGACAAATCCCCATTCACACAAAAATCAGAACCCCCTGTAAAGCAGCCAGTACAAAAAGGAAAAAAATTGAAAAACGATCGACGCTGACAACAAAAAATATTTCACCACCACTCAAAAGTCCATAGTGTCAATGAAAAGAGAAGACCTGTTAGTTTTCATTACATATAGAGACTATCAAAGTAAAATGACCTAATATCTTAACTTATTTAAATTACCATTTCATATTGTTATTATAAAACTCTTTATTAATTCGTAGACGATGTTGTTGTCATAAGAGAACTAAGCGTCGTCTGAAATGAAGGACATTTTCGTCAGTTTTACGGGGTCTCGAGAATTTGTTCGAGATGTTCGTCTGAATTTCTTGTTAGAAAAGCCGCCTTCTGGTTGGAGGTCTAACGAGTCATTAGGAGCCGTGTTCAGCATGGTGTAACCAGACGAGAAAGGATTCCTTGAACCTATTACACCTTCTTCGGCCTCAGGTTTCTTGTATCTGAAAAGAGAGTAGATCATTCGATCAGTGAACATCAAGGTTTCCACAAATTCCGTATCACTCGCGCGTTCATTCCGCATCATGGAAGCCGAAACTACTATAGAGGTTTGTCTCATATTATTTACACGTGACTATACATGACAACAGCCACCATTCAAGAAACGAGCCCAAGCTCCTTCCTGGTCCTCTCTCTCGGAATGATCGAAGACCAGACCCGAGAAAACAGCGGAAATCGAGCTTAACAACGGAACTAATCAACACAAAGGCGCGCGTAGTTTGTACCACATTTAGCACAAAGGTAAGGCCTCATTCCAAGGAAGGTTCAAAATATGTAATATAAATGAGGATTACTGACTTATCTTCCATGATCGGACACTTTGTACATAACTGAAACAGAACTAGGGCAAAAGCTTGGCGTGGTTTCTCGTCCCGTTCAAACTGGGCGTTTGCCAGAACAGGGCCTAGGACCAAAGCTCCCAATCGTAAAAATACGTTTGTGTAAATGAGTTTTCTTTAAAATTTTCAATGAAAGAAACCTTAGTAATCCCCGAACACGAGACTCTAAACAATATCAAACCAAACTATAAAACTTACAATCTGAGCATCAAAGATGACCCAACAACAGATACAGAAGACGCTGCCATTGCAATACTTGCCATCCAAGGCTTCATAACGACGCCTAGAGGTTCAAACGCTCCAGCAGCTAACGGGATTCCAATCATGTTGTAGATGAGCGCGAAGCAGAAGTTGATGTAGATTCTTCGGACTGTAACCCGTGAGAGGTCGATAGCGACGGCTACATCCATGAGATCACTCTAAATAAACAATAACGACAGCAACAGATGAGGTAAGCAATTGAAAAGAACTCGAGAGACGTCTGAATATTGCTCAATGATAGTTATCTCCAGGATAATATATATGCCTATAATTGCCTATCGCGTACAGAAGTATTGGAGTAACTCCTTTCGTATGATTTAATTCTAAACCTTTGGACCAGAATGTAAAACTTGCCTCTTGCTGCTTTAACTTTCCAAAGAAATCATATGAAAGAATTTGGTTTGGTAGCAACATAACTCTTCCAAACTGATACTTTCTCTTTCTTGGGTAATGTCTCGATATTGAGACGCAAAAAAAAAATTAATCGCGGATTAAAGTGGAAAGAGGTACAGTGAGAGTCGAGACAGCACACAGCCCAGTGACCCGGCCGGGGTATATTCTGATATTAAGTGATGTTTTGATTTTAAATATAAGGCTCTTTCGGACATTGCATCTACCACGAAGTTATTCCATTTAAGAAATAGTTAAAAAATACTTTCCATAGCAATTACATGGAATGGAGAATAAAGACGCTGATCAAACAGTTACCTTAATTAAGACAACATCAGCTGCCTCCACAGCGACATCTGTACCAGTGCCGATAGCGATTCCAACATGAGCCTGTGCGAGGGCTGGTGAATCATTGACTCCGTCACCCACCATAGCTACAATAAAACCTTTGTCTTGAAGCGAACGAATTTTTTCCACTTTGTGTGAAGGAAGAACCTCTGCAAATACCTGCTGTATCCCAACCTGTGGTGAAACAAGGAAAATTTTAACCATGCAGCACTTCCAACTTACGTATGATGATGAATAAAACCGGATGTGCAGAGCGGCAAACGTAATATATCAGCTACTAATATTACAGAGCTGGAGACAGTTGTTTATTTGTCGCGTCACGAGTATGAGTTCCCATGAGGAATCGAACCTCAGGCCCCAGGAGTCCACGCTCTGACGCTCTACCACGTAGTCAAAGAGATTCTGAAGTGAGCTGCGTCATTAAGAGGTTTACATGTGACCCACATCTTGCATACTGCTAGGATCAGTAATTTCGAAACCGTCATGTGAAAGTGTGTAGATAGAATAAGAACGATAATGATTTTAAAGCTTGGTAAAGAAACAAAAACAGATGTTTATTCGTCTTATCACGAGCGAGGGACAAAGCGTTGTCTTATCTTATAAGTATGATGAATAGCAGTTTTTGAGTATGATGGTAGGAGTTTTCCTGAAAGGGTCGCTCACGATCAGCGTCAACGACCCAAAACGACAAAGAAACAGAAATCAGGAAGTGTACAGCTCAACTACACTCCTGGGCGAAAATGAATGTTTCAGGTTGCTTTGGACATACGAAAGCGAGACAAATCATCTTGCAGCTGACCTGCTTAGCGATGGCGAACGCCGTCTTCTTGTTGTCTCCAGTTAACAGCACTACTCTTATTCCCATTCTTTTCAGTGTCGCCACTGTTGCCTGAGCCTCCTGTTTCACTGTGTCAGCGACCGCCATCATTGCTACAAGAACACCTGAGGGAAAAAATTCCGGCGAATCAGGATTGAAACTATGCGAAGTCGGAGGGTAAAATGTCAGCCCGGAGACTTATCTCGAGAGCGCTAGTGCACCCAGCGAGCTCGTGACTCTCAGAAATTTGCAAGAATGGTGCACTCGACGAGCTTTCTGTTCTGCCGAACAATCAGAAATTTGCACGACTGGAGCACCCGACGAGCTTTCTGTTCTGCCGAACGATCAGAAATTTGCACGACTCGACTCGACGAGCTACTGACTCCTTATAACTACTAAAAAATTGCTCGAAAATCAACACGAGCGAAATTTTTCCACCACTTAAGAGGTCACTGCGCAGTCGGAGAGAGTGTGCACTTCCGCCAACTTATCGGGCGACCTTTTCCTTTTCTCGAGTTCTTACCATTAATGCTGATGAGTACAGCGGTATGTCCTTTTTCTTCATGCTCTTGCATGGCATCTTCCATCTCATCAGTAACCTCTAAGCCGTTCTGTTGCATCCATTCTCTGTTACCAATAAGCACTTTGTATTTAGTGGGTTCTTTGGCAGCGTTACTTCCTTCCTTTGCTTGGCTCTCTGCTGTAGAAGGGGAACCAGTTTTCAAATCATGATATGTTCACGAAAAAGATTATTACGCAATGCTTCAGAAACGACACGTATCCAAGCGGGTAAAGAATTGGTGAGCGAAGAAAAAGTAAAAATAAGAACAAACGGTTACAAGGCGACAATGTATTTGATGCCCTTCACTCCAGCTGTAATCCTTATTAACAAAGGTGAAGTTGAATAAAAAGGCTAAAACATAATGTACTCTTGCAGTAGGACTGAAATGCCAGGAGACTGTCACCGTGAAATAAAATTTGTTTTAGTGCGACGAAATACTGCAAACTTCACTCTCCTTCACTTGGGAATGTTCTGTATTGAGAATGATGCTTCTTTCACTGCCATTGCAATTTAGAAGGGGAAAAAATGGAATTAAGTTTTGGCTGAAAGAAGTGGCCCTTA